TATTTATTGTTAATATTGAAAGTTATGTGAATAAGATTTATCATCAAATTTAATATTGAATTCAATACACTGATTTGAAATTAATTTACTTTGATTTCAAAATTTAATTTGAAGACGTATACCTAACACAAAGAGCAATAAATAGCAGAAATGTACCTATATCTTTTGCACTAACTATTTTCATCTATATTACCAAATAATTTAACAACAAGTTAACGATGACGAGTAATACCTTCATAAAGGTCTCCTTAGAATATTGAAGCCTCGAAGAAACCGTAAGACGGTCGGACAGACGGCGGATTTCCGCCAGATAGTTCAATTCAGGCGGCTCGTATACCCGTTGCCGATCCACTGCAGTTTCTGAATCGTATTCCGCGATATGTTTTAGCACGTCTTTTGGTATCCCGACGCCATTGTCGACAACCTGAATTTCCCGTTTTCCCGCATGAATTCTTACCGCGATTGCTGCGGCGTGTGCGTTCAAAGAATTCGCTACCTGCAATGTTAATTTATTAGTACGCCATCATTCAATCCCCTTTTATTGATTGAAGTAACGGTAGACTGATGGATAAAAAATCGACACGATACACAAATTAGAAAATACAATTTGATAATTGACTTAAGAATGCGGTTAACGCTCTAATAAATAACTGAGATTATCAAGCTAGTAATAAACGCGTTTAGAACCTAATATTTTTTTAAGCACAGTAGTCATATTTAAAAACGCGTAACATTTAAGATTATGCTCAACGCCAAGAAAACAGAAATGTATATTCGACGTAAATTATTATTTTTTTAAAGCATTTAACCATGATAGAAAACAACACTTTACGTTCCTCGCGCTAGTACATATACATAACGAACAACTCGGGGATGGTGGAAATTATGTGATGCGTACCAGTTCCAAGACGCATCGTTCGAAAGACGCGATATTTGACATCGTCAACGTTCGCGCGGTCGATTGTTCTGCATCATCCTGCATCGTTCTTCGAGTTCTATAAGTAACGAAACCAGAAAGCGGACACCGATATAACGCGTCGCTCTTCTCTCGAGGGAGACTTTTGTCATGGCGCCCAGAATCACGTCATCTACACTTTTTACATCTTCCACCCTTAAAACGACAAAAAGGTAAAGAGAATAAAAACGCACATAAATAACATGTACATTAAACTAATATATGTACAATAAATAAAAATTCTTTACGTAAAAAGAGTGTATAAATGTGCAAAATGTATGTACGTGATAAAGGTGTATTAAAGGTGCAACAAACAAATCTGTTGTTGCAATTTGCAGTGTAAAGAATATTCGATTTCCGGTGATTTAAAAGTGACGCGAAATGTTGATCGCGTTTCTAATTCAGCGTAAAGAACAAAATGGGGGAAGAAGGGGAGGAGAATAAGCGGCGGTCCGTCGCGGATGTATTTATAAAAATCTCTTTATTCTTTTTTTTTCTTATTGCATCTACTAAAAAGTTCCTGCATTCGTATCTCTTTCAAAATGCTATATATAATCCTGGAAAAGAAGTATGGCTCTCTCTCTCTCTTTTTTTTTTCAATAACAAGTGTCAAGACCGCGATAACTTAATATTAACATTCGAGTAGCTTTACACGGTTCATCCGCCCCGCGTTCGGGGGTGCTCTAAGAGTATTTAATATAATTTATTTAACATTCGGGCGAGACGACACAACTAGGAGAAACTTTAATCGTAACGATTATCGCGCTAGAAGGATCCTGGTAGCTTCAATGTGGGAGACCTCGATAAAGTCGCTACCGATTTCTTTCCTTAACAATCCGCATCAACATAATAAACTCGCAAACGATCTTTGAAATTAGTATACTGTTAATTAATTATGCCTGAAGAGACCCTACAGTGTTTCTTATTATCATATAGTTTAAATTATTTTGGTACATGGAAACTTAACAAACACAGCGGATATAAAAATAGTTCAAGTTGTATATATACGTACATATATGTATACATTCATACATATATACATATATGTAAATACAAATGTATATATATATGGATACATATTAGTAATAAGACACGTGAAAAATACGAAGTATATTGCTCGTATTTCAATTCGTTAATCTTTGTGCTATTAATATATCTGCGCATCATTTACATCGTTGTAACATTTCCACTGATAAAAACATTAATCATTTACCCAAACATTAATTATTACGCAAATTGTGTAAAATAATTTTATATATATATATATATATAGAACTATATATACATATATATATATAGTTCTATATATAACAATTGTGATATATAACAAACATGACAATTGTAATTTGTTATACAAAATTCGTTACATTCCTTTAGTAATATATACGGAAAATTAAAAAAAAAGTAAATAAAATTTATCTTCTGTATTAATTATTATGGAACACTGGTTGCACGTAGTCCTTTCCTTCTCGCCATCAGATAAATTACTTGCGCACTGTGTTTAAAAATGTAAATGTACAATCTCTAAATAAGAATATCTTACAACGGAAGAGCAAAAGTTTACTCATAAACAGAATTTTTACGAAAAATTATATAAATTAACAGCATACTCTTTTCATCAGCAATGTTTTTGTCAATTTGCGTTTTTTCTTCGGATTACATCAACAACAGAGAGTTCTTATTACGATTGGACATATTAAATATATTTAATATATCGCGAGCACATACTAGATATATTCAATAATTAAGAAATAATATAAAATACGTATTTCCTTTTTTAGAGAAGCGAGCTTGGAAGAAGAGTACAGTTTAAATTTAATTTCTAAATTAAAATCTATACATATAGAAAAAAAGCATGAAAGTATCAAATTGAGAAGCTCGCTATATAGCATATTGTGTAATGAGTTTATTGTAAAATTATTGTAATAACAATCACATATCGAGTCATCTATCAACGAGATATAACACACATATTAAAATGATGAGACATAAATAATTTAGCGGCATCACCAAGTATCTTGACGCTATTATAGCGTTGAAAAATCATGTAACATTAAAAATATATATATATATATATATATTTATATGTATATGTATAAATTGACGAGTTATTCCTATAAATATCCTCTAAAATCTGCTGTGATAAATCAATCACTTAGAAACAAATTCGCGATTTATTCAACTTTAGGCACCAATGGTATGCAGACCCTGTCTTTGGTACATACTACCGATTCGATTTTTGTTTATATCTGAATAAAGAAGACGGACTATCACAGTCTTCTGCATCTGAATATAGTTATTTCATAGCAATTTCATCGTATGGATACTTCGTCCTTCCGTTTTCCTCTATGTTTGCATGTTCAATGCAAAGAGTTTGTATTATTACATTTCGCTTATCTGTGTGATACAGTCCTAAAGCACGTGTTCATTAACAAAAAACTCAGTCTTCTTCCTTCTTCTCGGGCTTCAAGTCTACCATTGCATGTATCTCGTCAGGACTGTATCTGCAAAGATAGAAGAAAAATACAATCATTGACATTATTATATCTTCAATTTTCAACAATAATATATGTATTAAATATTATTTACAACTTGTAACAAAATATAAAAAGTAAGAATTTGTTAAAATAATAAGTAGTAAAAATGATATATCTAAATTTGGTCAATGTGTAACATGTAAAGTTTATTAAAAATTGTTAAATACTCGTAATTATATGTATACATTTATATTTACCCTAGTAGAGTTTGTAAGTCGCATACAAAGCGATATACGTATCGCTTGCCAGCAGTTTTGTGTATAATATTCTTGTCATAATAGTAGCGTAAGCCTCGGCTCAGCTTTTCATAATTCATTTTGGGCTTGTTCTTGCGAATACCCCAACGGCGTGCAACCTCGTCCGGATCGGTCAGTTTGAATTCCCAGCCGTCGCCGGTCCACGAGATGAAACTCTGGCACGCTTTGTCAGTTAGGAGCTCCAGCAGAAATTGCCACAGTTGAATCGGACCTGATCCAGTGAAGCATGGTGGACCGCCACCTAAAAAAAATTGGTCATTTTATATTTAAAACTTAATATTAAAATATACATTAAACAGTAATTAGTAAAATATTTACCGTAATTTCAAAATCTAATATTATTTCGTTTTTTGTTATTTCTCTCTATCAATGATTCACAATAAATATTTATTTCACTGTGATAAAAACAAATCCGAAACACAAATTTAATTCCAAAGTAACCGAGTATAGGCAAATTACGGTATTGCGTAATCCTTTGAAAAACAGAAAATTTCCAAATATTAACAAATAAATTAGATAAACAATTTAGGAAAAAATCTATCAGTGATTTATGAAATATATTATTGAATCGTGAATCTACCTGGATAACCGGTGAGCATTGAGCTCTGCAGTAACGGCTTTTGGTCCGCATTATTGGCGATAGATGTGGGATGATGAGGATTGGAGGAATCTCGTGGTCCGAGACCCGCAAGAAACGCGGGATGATGAGAGAGATGATCCCCAAGCCCGACACCCCACTGGTCACCACCAACGCCGCCGCCGCCTCCAGCACCGCTCCCGCTTCCGGGAACGGTTTGGAACGGCGTTGCATCGTACTGTCCGTAGGAACCGCTCTCGCTGTAACCCTCGTGATAGCGTCCTGTGAAGCGAAAAAAAAATGTCATTTTGATATTAACTGATCTCAATCAAATTTTGAACGTGCTACGAACAAAGCAGGAAACCAATTTATTTTATTAGATTATATATGTAGGGGAGAAGGAGGCACTTTAGAACATCTCGAATAAAGAACATTTGTCACTTTTAATATACCTAATATACCTAATACAGATTAGATATATAGTATAGATACAGATAGATATATAAATATAATAAAAAAATATAAACTATAGTTTTTGACAATTTTCCTCCTTTCTAATTAATTCCAGTTTCTGGCTACGAACCTCGAGGGTAGTTTTTGAACGGTGACGGCTGGTATTTGGGCTCGATGTGAATCCCACTGGCGCCGTAGAAGTCCGACGAGCTGTCCAAATTGTACGGATGCGGCGCCTGGTGATCTTGCGACAAGCTATGATATTCGGACGCCTCGTCATATCCCGAATAATGGGCCGGCGTCATATAACTCTCCGTGGCGGTCGCGCTGACTCTCAAGTCGCTCTCGTTGCTACCTGCACCCGCGAGTTCACCCGCGCTGCCCAGGCCACCCCCACTGCCTTGGAGATGCTCGGCTATGTGATGATTGCTGTAGTTCGCTAGAATTTTTTCATTTTTGCAAATTAATTTTCTTTTCGATAGTTATTTTTTATCCGACAAAATTGAAATAATTGAAATTGTATGATATTTTAATACGAATTAAACGTAAAAATGAACGAAGATAATTTACATATTATTTAAAAGTAGTTTCGATGTAATCAGTAATCATCGTGTTTAGAACATTCAAAAATATAGAATTTTTGTCAGTATGATACACAGCATATCAATGAACGAATTTTCTGGTGGAAAAAAAAAGTTCCTCGCGATTATGTTATCTCTTAAACGAGGAAGGAGACTTGTAGCATTTGATATCGTGTCTTTGCCTCATGAATCATTCAAAATAAATGTGTTTCGCGAATAAAGATTGTAAAAATACTTGCAATAAATTCTACAGAAGCTTAGAAATGCGAAATGTCTATACACGCAGATATTGAATAATTGTAATGAGAAACTTACATTCCGTTTTGAGCTGATTTAAATTCCGTAGATGAATGTACGCGTTGTTGGCATTGTTGTTGTTGTTATTGTTGTTATTACTGTTAGGGGTACTAGAGTGAGAGGTCGGTGGTTGGGTGCTATGGCTGTGGGGTGGTGGCGACGTTTCGTCTCTTTGACTTTCGTCTTGGCACACGGGACTGCGAAGGTGATTGTAGCCGCCTGCAAATTGAAAGGAACAATTCGCGTTGCATTACAATATCTTAATAAGTATCAAATTAATTAAGCATGTCATTTACTTAAATTAGATGAACAGGAAAAAAAGAAAATGGATATATCAATATATGTGTCTACCTGTAAAAACCATATGAAAAAATACACAATCGCTAGTTTGTCTGTTTATCACATTCCTGAAAAGTCAAGAATTAACTCATCACGAACATGTAACGCTGATTACACAATTACATTTTTAAATCAGATTATGGTTTTAAAAAGCTCTACTTTTCATAAGATATAATGTTTCCTATTATTTCAATGCGTCTTTTTTTATCTCCCAAAGTGAATGATATCCTCATCTTATCAGAGAGAAAAGAAGAGTATCCTATCATGTAATAACATTCTTTTTTCTCAACATATCTTCAAATCTTTCTAATCTCCTGTATACAATATAATACACCCCTTTACATTTATCTCTCTTTTCTTTAAATTTTTATCGAAATCGTTACAGAGGCGTCCACGAATAAGGAAGAAGAGACGATGCTGCGTCGCCGCGCATCTCTCGTTGCGGCACTCCGGGCACTCCGCAGGGAGGAACCACCGCTGACACGTGGGCGGCGCGTATCTCGATGATTGGTCCGAACGAACTCCGCCTATTCTCGACTTCCGTTCTACGATCGCGCGAGAGAGAGCCCGGGTATCGCGCGAGGCTGAAGCTGAGGCTCCGCGCGTTCGAATCGCCGCGCCGCGCCGCGCCGCGCCGTCGCGTCGCCCAGGATTGCGATTGTCGAATTAGCAAATTCTGCTGTGACGAGTGACAGCCTCGGGATGAGACCTTCACGATACAGCGTGGCGCTCGAAATTTAAGCTTCAAGTTTCAAGTCATTTAGAAGTTTTCTTTTTAAGTAAATTGCGTTTTTACTGGAAGCACAGCTGCACAATTCTCAAGCTGTTCATGAGATTTTCTGTGGAATTCGTTTTCTTTTTGCGAATGTCCAAGAAAATTATTTTTTATTCTTACAAAATGAAGGATTTGATTCTACGTTCAGTTTCAATAATATTCACAAGCTAAATAAAAATGATATTGTCTTGTTACGTCTTACGTCCTTCGATTCGTCCCTGTGGCCGGATTAAATCTTTTAAACTTTCAACCCGACTTCTTTATTTCCGCGAGTGCCGAAGGCGTAATATTTTGAGGGCTCGTCCGGGATTATTTCCCAACGGTATTATATCCGGTTGAAAATTCTGATTTGAAGTATCCCACTATGGGGAGGAAGTGGCAGTACAGTTCAAAGTAAATGCCAATGTAGACGTAGGCAAATTTTCTGAGGAATTTCCGTTATTTGTAGCTAAAATTTCGGACGAACAACGTCAGCGAAAGCTCGGAGAAAACTCGAGGACGACCCGTTAAATTACGCGCTGTCTTGACAACGATCTTCTTTTTTACATTTGCCGGCCGCGCTCCGTATCGATCGGTTGCTTACTTATTATTGCTTTATTTATACGTCACTGCAGCCGCGATCGTAAATAATGAATTATATAAATTAAATTTATAATATAGAGGTGACTGGGCACACGCGTGAAAACGTTACGTTATACATTACCATATCTCTCACATGAAAAATACCGTAAAACTTATCCATACACGAAGAGAAGTATAGTTCCAGGTCTTTTAATTCATGTAATTTTGAACAAATCGCTTTTGATTAAAGCGTCCTGAGATTATCTATTCCTATCTTATACTTTATGAAGCAATTTAGAGTTTTCTAAATATCTTCAAGAAAGAACTAACAAATAAGACAGATAAGAACAATCTAAGGTTTAGTTACACGGAGAAAGGATAGTGGTGGAGTCGGAAGTTGGTGGAGTCACATATCTTATCTCTCGAAACTCATGTTCGCTACTTACTGCTACCTTAACGTTTCACGCCAATTATTTTAATGCCGTCCTAAATAAAAGTCAATTGAAAAATAAAAGAAAACGATATGCTAACAAGAAGAATATAAATGTAAAGTCACAAAATAATAGCGAATAGTGATTAAATTCGACCGTCACTTTGGCGAACAATCCAGTTCTTAAGACGAACATTCACTCTTACAAACTATTAATTAAGAATAGTTATGTGTGTGAATATATTATTCATTTTTTTTTTAATAAATTGAGATGAGCGAAAACGTGGATCAATTAAAGTAAATCTTTAATTTAAAATCTATGTTCCGTGCAATCCCACACCACTATTAAATATACAACTTAAATTAAATTGAATAAAACGCAAAGTTGCGTCAAATTCTTTTCGATACTGCAATTTAAACGGCGAGACCGAGCCATTAACTTCAATTTATCTAAGATTTATGGAGCGTCAATAAAAAGCAGGTGATACCACGAATACGTTTTTATCTGTTAAGGCGAAACCAGGTGGCTTGCCAGGATTATCGTTGGGCCCCCGCGCCGTGCTTATTGCATATCTCTCCCTCTCCACCTCATTTACACGGTATAAATAGTTTAGCCGACGCGATTAACGCGTCCGCTAGAATTGATCTTTTGTTTAGTAATACGTGAAACGCGATGAAATGCGGGCGATAGAGACATCGGCGAATTACCATAATCCACCGACCTTTTCGAAACGACAGGCGCGCATGTGACGCGTCGCCACCCCACATTCCCACACTTGCGTTTTAATAACGAAGGAAAAAAAAACAGGTGGTCCCCGCCGCGCAAGTGTCGCACCGACCACGTATCGTTAATTTCGCTTAGCCGTCTTTAATTGGGCGTAATTACAGACGGGGGTAGGGAATACAGAACCCCAGCTTTAAAAGATCAGGTTTTACCGTGAATTACAGTTTAAAAACAAAAATACATTATAGATAAAATCAAATTTAAACGAATATATAGTAGTGATAAAAAAACGGTTGAATAATTAGAATATCATCTGTTCTCGGGAAGGAATTAAACTTATAATAATAAGTCTTGGTAGGTTTTTGATGTCGTAAAAAATTATAAAAATTGTATAAAAATTATGAGAGAATATGAATGTATTATTCCATGTTAATAAATTTATTGCAACTGACAGATTGATAAAAGATCTATTTTTTAATCGCATCGCTTTATGAGTGAAGCTTTATTATGCTACAGCAATGGTCCTTCAACCTTTTATGATCTAAAAGATTCTAGAAAGGATCTAAAAGACTCCATATGGTACCTCCCGAGATCGTTACAGATCGTTTCAAAACAGCACACTGACTTTTTTTTCTGATTGCGATTGCTGGAGTAAATCTCGCGACTTGGTACCAAAAATCCAAAATATAGTCGTTGCTTTTTGTTACAAAACCACGTTTAAATTGAACAGCTGACGAACATGTAATTACCCAAAGATATACCGAGAATTCGTTCAACGACATCAGAGCCGAGCGTCTTAAGCGCGCTTTCCCGTAGAAATAATTACTCGCGAAGCCCTTCCTGCTTTCCCATAACTCCCGTGTCCATGTGGTGACCGTGGCGTTGTTAATAGGGCCGTAGGGACAGACCCTGCATATTCTAAGTACACCTGCAAGGCTCGCGTGTAGTAGCTGCACCTCGCACCCCGTGTTTCATGGACGATGAGCGTGGGAGTGCAGCCTGGAGCTGGCCCTCACGCTGCACACACAGACGCATGGCACTCTCTCTCTCTCTCTCTCTCTCTCTCTCTCTCTGCTAAAGCCAGTCATCGTTTAGAATTTCAGGCATAATGCGCCTAAAAATGTGTTCTTGAATTAAAAACGGAGTGCGTTGAAGAAAACTGGCTTCCATATCGCAAAAAGTTCAACCATCCTTATCGAAAGATCGCTATTGCAACTACGAGTTACCGCTACTATTATTATTTTGCAACTACAAACGCGCACGCAATTACATTATAATTAGCATATAGTTTCGCGACCGATTGGCATAATGTTGTATCTATTTTTAAATGCGTAATCCATTACGACTAGCGCTATTTTCATAAGCTAAAACCGATAAGAGCGGTTACAAATTGTTAACGTAATTACACGTACGTTTAACTTATTTTCCTTGCAACAACAAAAAGGCCGCATAATGACGAGTCGGTGCTCAAAGTTCTATATTTAAATATGATCCTAGAACTTGAATTGCTCATTAATGAACAGTTAAATCGACATTATTTAAAAATGACATTATGAAAAAAAATAATAAAATTTTAATATTCTTATAAATTTTTGAAACGTTTCTTTGCGTCAGCGCAGCATATCTCTCCAGGATTTTTTCTATCAAATCGAATGCACTGTTCAACTACTAAATTATAGATAAAATTTCAAAATTAAACAAAAAATAGACAAAATTTCAGCTCTAAAGTCATCCAAGTATTTTCTTTTCAAAATGTTTTCCTATCTAAACATAGTTCCTTCTACCCAACCCAATGGCACAAGCTGAGCGTTCGTTAATTAATAGATCAACAGACGAGGAAATTTCGGCAGCTACGACGCCGACGTCCCGAGCCGAGAAGTGTATCTCGGAGCAGGGGGAAGCCGTCGCGCGAGAAAGCGGGGACCGACGACGCACAGTCGGGCTATATGGTATATCGGGCGAGCAAAAGTAGCAGCAGCCGCGTATCAGCTGTGAAACAGGTGCCGAGGACTGCCAGAACCGCCGCGCCGGCCGCTTAGGCGGCATGGCAGTAACGGTGAGCAATGAAGGCGGCGGCGCGGCGGCCAGTAACAGGAGCAGCGACAGCGACGGCGACGGCGGCAGCCTCGTGGCACGTGCCAAATCGAATGAAACGCCCGGTCGGCGCGCACAGCTGCTGTCTGCTGAGGCAAGGTACTGGAGAAAGAGAGACACAAGAGAGAGAGAGAGAGAGAGAGAGAAAGACCCGGCGCAGCCCGGCGGCCTCTTGAAAATTAAAACCTGCCTCACGAATGTTCTCGACTCGCCGCCGCGCCGGAAGGTCATTATCTTCGGCCGGAGTACTCGAGGCCCGCGATCCACATCAGGATCCGGGACTCTCGTTAGGGGAA